TGTGTGTGTGTGTCTGTCAGGACTCAGAGTACATGGTGGCGGTGAGGAACTACATCACCGAGGACAGGACTCTGCTCAGCTTCCACAAAGGAGACATCATCAGACTGCAGCACATGGACGGGCTGGAGGCTGGTGAGACACACACACACACACACACACACACACACACACACACACACACACACACACACACACACACACACACACACAGACAGAAACCTGTGCAGTGGTGTCTCTGTATATTTGCTTTCTGCCTCATGTCATGAACAGTATGTCTCTGTGTGTGTGTGTGTGTGTGTGTGTGTGTGTGTGTCCGTCCGTCCATGTGCACATGTGTGTGTGTTCAGGCAAATACTACGGCTGCATCGTGAGGAAGAAGGTGATGCTCCTGGAGGAGCTGAGGAGAGACACTCCTGAGTTCGGTGTGTTTGGCTCTTTCTGTGTGTGTGTGTGTGTGTGTGTGTGTGTGTGTGTGTGTGTGTGTGTGTGTGTGTGTGTTTTGATATCAGAGCCTCAACTTTTGTGTTTCTACTTTTTTCTTTTTAAACTTTATTTAGGTTTGATTTGCTGTTTTACTTTGTCAGAGAAGCTAAAAAACATAAACTATTATAAAATATTTTGTTTGTTTTGGTTTTGTGTGTAACATGTGCATGTGAATCTCTGAGTGACAGTACATATCGTGTGTGTGTGTGTGTGTGTGTGTGTGTGTGTGTGTGTGTGTGTGTGTGTGTGTGTGTGTGTGTGTAGGCTGGCGGTTCGGGGCTGTGTATGGAAAGTCAGGTGTGTTTCCCAGTGAGTACGTCCGTCCAGTGGCCGCTCCAGACTTCCTGGTTCTCCCCGCGGAGCGTGTGGAGCCTCGGGACAGACAGGGACGAGTCGCCGCCTCTGCCGCTGTTGCCGTAGCGATGGGCTCAGCGGTGGCTGCCCACGAGCTTGACCTCTCCACAGAGGTGCGCACCAGGACGGTGTTTACACTACAGCAGCATCTTTCAAACTGTAGAGCAACAAAGAATCATGATCCCGACAGATAAAGAAAGAGTTAATGAGTCTGAATCTCCGGCTCCAGCAGGAACAACTCCGCGACATCACAGCGTCAGCTGGTGTTTGTTCAGCATGTGCTGGAATGTGTTGCTCTGCAGAAATGGAAATATCTTGTAGATAATTACACCTTTGACATTCCTTTAAGTGGCCACTGTTGCTGAGCTCTTTACTCTGTGTGTGTGTGTGTGTGTGTGTGTGTGTGTGTGTGTGTGTGTGTGTGTGTGTGCATCAGGTGGTGAACGAGATGTACGGCGACGGTCTGAGCGTGGAGCTGGACGATCTGCCTCTGCACGGCGGTCAGTACCACATGGCTGAGTTTGCCAAGAAGTACTTCAGAGAGGCACAGAGGAACAGGAGGTCAGACACACACACACACACACACACACACACACACACACACACACAAACCGCCAAAATGGTGTGACCCACAATTAAACTTTTTCATTTTTTAAGACCTTTGTGTTTTTCTCAGTAAAATTCATTCATTTTTAACAGTTTGATGAAGAATCAGCTCATACATGTCACTCAGTAAAGACTTCAGTAAAACACAGGTTTCAAATTTTTCCTTATTTTATAGATAAAAACATCGTAAATCATAATAAAAAAAGAAAAAATTCAACACAGAAAATTGCACTCATTAGTTTGAGTTGTTGTAGAGGTGAACTGAAGTTTCTGAAGTTCTGCTCATTCTCAGGATTTATGAACGATCAGCTTCAAATCCTCGGCTGCTCTCAACACGTGACCGGTCTCGTCCGTCTGTCTTTCTTCTGTCGCGTCAGTAAACTGAGAACAGCTGCTCCTCTCTCTGAGCTCAGAGTAAAGCAGCACGGACAGTCGATCAATAAACACACAGACGGTAAAACTCCAGATGTTTCATAGCTGGAGCGATCACGGAGCGATGACGCTCTGCAGCCGAGGTATCAGACGTCTTCAGCCAACAGACACCTGCTCACTCTGCCGCCTGTGTGTTGATGTTCACAGTGATCAGAAAGCCAAAAGGGGGAAGGAGGGCAGGGATCCTTTTGACATGGTCAAGTTCTCCAAGGTAAAATATCTGCCTTCACCTCTTGAAACCGTGTCCACGTGTTTGTCCTATCATATGTTTACCTTCGTTTTCAAGCGTGTTTGTGACTGTGGCTTCGGTGCGTCGCTCTCTCCAGTCTCCGATGCAGGAGTCTCTGATCGACTTCTCAGACAGCGGGATGAACAGAGTCGCCGCTGACATCTTCTTAGGTGAGAGGACAGTCACAGGGCGAGGGATGGATACAGAGAGGAGACTTATATTATATATGTGTTAGACTCATAGTCAGCTGGAGAGCAGCAGTACAGATCTTTAACAGGTCAAACCTGAGAGAGAGGGAACGCTGAAGGTGAAATAAAGATTATTTTGTTTTATTTTTTATGTTGTAACTGAATGAGTTTGTGGTTTTTGTTCAGCCACAATGAAGTTCATGGGAGACTTCCCCCTGAAAGGTCAGACTGAACAGGACCTGGTCACCACCATACTGAAGGTGCACACACACACACACACACACACACACACACATACACATATTTGATAGGTGAAAACACAGAGTAGAAATATGGTTTAACTCAGAGAGCTGAGATTTGTGACATAAAACACTGGTATTATTTTATAATTTGTGAGTAAAATAGTAGATTAAAGCCTAAAATGAATTTTTGTAATATCACTGAGTCGTAGTTTCGTCTTGTCTCTACTTTAACCAGATTTTAGAGGCTGTGAGTCACGTACAATCTCACAGTAACACGTGGGGGAAGGTGGAGAGTCGACAGATTATCATCACTCAGGGGGGTTAAGCCAGAAACATTAGACCTTACCGCCAGGCTAACTCAGGCCTAAGACCAGTGTTACCATGGTAACAGCTGAATTTCCAAAGTGAAACATCCTGCAGTTCCTCGGTCCGAAGTCTTAATTTACCCAGAATTCACTGTACCACGGTCCGGCTTAAGATAGAACTAAACTGCTTTGTGCAACAGATGAATTCAGACTCCGTCGATCTGAAGTCCGACTGTTGGTTAGATTAGTTTGTCAGAAGCTAACATGCTATAGTTTGGTCTGGACCACGCCCATCACTCCAGGAGGCTCCGCCCTGTCACACAGGTCACACCTTCACATTCATATATGAGCTCACCTGCTGCTCTGAAACAAGATGGCTGAAACGAGCTGCAGCACGTGTTCGTCTGTGTCTCGTCACTCCTCTAGTTAAGCGGCGACCACGGCCTGATGAAGGACGAAGCGTACTGCCAGGTGATGAAGCAGGTCACTGCCAACACCAGCTCCAAATCGTAAGACTCCTCTTCATGTTACCTCGGATACTGACGGTGTAACCTGTACCTTCACAGTCCTGGGGGGGGAAAGGCTGTAACGTGTGTGTGTGTGTGTGTGTGTGTGTGTGTGTGTGTGTGTGTGTGTTTTGTGCAGGGACAGTTGTCAGAGAGGGTGGAGGCTGCTCTACATCCTCACGGCTTTCCACCGCTGCTCTGACGTCATGAAGCCGTTTCTGCTGAAGTTCCTGCAGGAGGCGTGCTCCAGCCCCGGGGTGCAGTACCAAGGTAGACAAACCCCGTATCCGTGGAAACGGTGCTACGGCCCAATCGACAGCCTAACACGTCAGCAGGGGGCTTAGGTTCCCATATGGACGGTAGGGACGTGTCAGATTGTCCCTACCAATATGTGAGTTAGATCAGTCCCATGTGTCTCCCCAGAGGTTACGTCTCCAAGGCGACCGATTTAGACGCGGTGGCATTTGATTGGCTGAAAGGTCGGGGGCTACCTGGAGCCTCACGTCATATACAAACATCTCACTTTCTTTTAATCCTCCATCTGTTTCTGTGTGTAGTTTTTATCTAAATATAAAAACAGGTAAATACAGATCACGTGTCACGTTGTTGTGTGTGTGTGTTGACAGGTATCGCCAAGGCGTGTGAGCAGAACCTGAGGAGAACCTTTCAGTACGGCGGACGTGTCCAGTTTCCCAACAGCATGGAGCTCAAAGCTATGCTGGTTGGTCTCTTGTTTACAGGAAGGAGTACAGGCGCTAATGTTTCACTAAACGGCTTCAGGATGGAATAACATGTTCAGTGTAATTATATGCTGCTTTATGTAGCATTCAGTTAGCACAATGATGCTACAGCTCTTCTGTGCATTAGTCTGTGTGACGGGTGAATCGGGGGCCTTCTTCCAGAGGACAAACTTTCCGCTGAGGGTAAACGGAGCTCAGCGGTTGGACAGTCTTATTTTACCCAGAATTCATTGTGCCACAGTCTGACTTGAGATAGTCGAGAACTAAAGTGCGTTTCTACTCCGGGCGTCCGTCATGTTTAAACGTGACTTTGTTCAGCAGCTGCTCTCGGCCGTACAGATGTTAGTACGTGACGTCTCCCTCTGATTCGCTGTTTGTTGTGCAGGCTGGGCGGAGCTCCAAGAGACAGCTGTTCCTGCTGCCAGGAGGCATCGAAAGACACTTGAAAATCAAGACGTGCTCTGTGAGTGACACACACACACACACACACACAGATGTGAACAGATACTGTATTGATCCACTGTGGTTAATGTTCATATCTGAGCTGCAGAGCGACTGTGAGTTGATTTCTTCCATGTCAGGTAGCTGTGGATGTGATCGAGGAGCTCTGCTATGAGATGGGACTACACAGGGTGGAGGCTTTGGATGAATACGCCATCTTTCTGGTCACACACAGAGGTGATCTGGCTAACTGTGACCTTTACACTGAACATCTGAAACAAACGCTATAAACTTATTTCTTCACTTTAGTCTTTAACGAGCTCTGAAATTTGCACCTCGCGTCACATTGAAGCTCAGCACCTCTTTTAAATGTCTGCATATTTAATGATTTATTCATTTATTCATTAATTTATCTAATTTTACATTAATGTTTTTAAAGTTTTTCAGTTTGGATCAATGTTTTTAACATGTTTTATGTTCGTTTTATGTCTTTGGTGCAGCTCATTTCTTTGTTGTAAATCACTTTGTGCTACATTTCTTGTATGAAAGATGCTGTACAAATAATGTTTATTATTATTAATATTATTATTATTATTAAATGCTCTATATAGTAATATGTGGTTGAATAGATGTTTAATGAGCTGTGTTTCTGTTCAGGTCAGAATGTGCGTCCTCTGAACAAGCGTGAGTACATCCTGGACATCGCTACGGAGGCGGAGCCGGTGGACGCCAACTACAGTCTGTGGTTCAGGAGAGTCATATGGAGTCTGGCTCTCAAGCTCGACAATGAACTCTACGTCACCATGCACTACAACCAGGTAGAGATCCGCCGTGTGACGTGACGGACGCCGCGCTCAGTGTTTCTTCTTCCAGCAGTTCACACACAACGGTCACCTGGACTCAAAGATGAAGTGATTAGATTTTGGGAGTCAAAGGTCAAAGGTCACGGTGACCTCAGAAAACACTTCTTAGCTATTTACTCAAGACTTCTCACAGAGTTTATGACAAACATTCACACAGATGATTCATATTGTATCTGACTCTGGATAAACAGGGATGTAACCTGGAACTAGTCTGAGTGGCGGAGGGATACGACCACGAGTTTCCTCTGGGAAATGTTGCCTTTGTTGAAACATGCAATGTGACTGTCGTAATGAGGTTTACTTGAGCGTTGGCTGAGTGTCGTTTGCAGCACATGAAGGACATGCAGTTTAACAATCATACAAGACAGATGAAATAACTCTCTCCGTGTCTCTCTACAAGGTGTTGCCAGACTACCTGAAGGCCTTGCTGAGCGTGGTTCCTCAGGGTAAAGCCAGCGAACAGCATCTGCAGCAGATCGCCAGACTGGCTGCCCTACAGCACCGTGCCAAGGACACCATCTACCTGCCCACCCTGTAAATATCCACAGACGACATCACGTGACCACGAGAACTTACTTTGTGTCAAACAGCTGTGGCCAGATGCATAAATGATGCGTACACCACATTTCCCGCTCATGAATATTTATTTATAGACACAGACTGTGTCACCTCCAAGTCACAGTGAAAATACTAAATAATTTAACATGAAATGAAATAAGCTTAATTCATTATCATCATGAGAAAAAACTATTTTACATTTCATAAAAGGAAATAAATGTGTTTGTGTGTCGATGTTTCCTTCAGCATCGTTTCATATCCTGATTATTGACTGTGACTCATTCTGTTTCTTACTGTTTGAATATTGACTAATGGAGCCTCGTTAAGACTCTGGTCCCAATAAAGGAAGTTCAGAGTTAAACAGGATTTTAACGGATGCAGGTTTTTACCTTGTTCATTTTCTTCTCTGTGTCTGATCACAGGCTGTGATTTTTATACAAACTGATTGATTAAGGGAAAGTCTTCATCCATTTATTCGTGTGGGTGGAAATGAGGCTCGTTCACGTGCGACCAATTCCTCAATGAGTGAGATTTACAAAGAGGAACCACGCGAACGCACAGATTTATAATTCAGATGAAAAGACTTGGTTCTGTGCGTTCACATAGTTTCAGTCGTGAATCGACTAATCTAGTTTTATGCATCTGGCCCCTGGACTGCACACGCACACACACACTCACACACACACACACACACACACACACACAGGTCCTTCCTCAAGCAGTATATACTGTATATATGTGTGTGTGTGTGTGTGTGTGTGTGTGTGTGTGTGATCAGTCGAGAGGTGCAGGAGTGTGTCCCTCCGCAGTTCTACAGCAAACAGGGTTCACAGCATTGGCTGAACATGACGACTCAACACATGCAGCAGGTCCAGCCGTTGAACCCGCACCAGGCCCGAGCTCAGTTCCTTGGTGAGTCTGCAGCTCGGTGTGTTTGTGTGCGTGTGTCTCTGAACGCAACTTATGATATAAACGTGACCGCAGCCTCCATAGACATGGACGCTTGTATTATTTATCAGTTTCGCATAATTAATAGAAAGCCCACTTTCATTTTCTCTCTCAAATGTAGTGGGATAAATATATTAGAGCAAAAACATCTGCCCGGAAACAGATGACAGACAAAAAAGGCTGTGCTGCTCAGTACTGAAGCTCTACTTGTACTGGAAAGAGATGAAGACATACTTTGTTTAAAGCTTCACAGATTTGTCATGGTTCTACTTTTCTTGAAAGTAACTGACGGAGATCAGAAGTGACGTCTTGGTGTTTTTTGTTTTGTCGCCCAGGTCTGGTCAGTGCCTTCCCCATGTTCGGCTCCTCCTTCTTCTACATCCAGAGTTCGAGCTCCGCCTCCATCCACGCCCCGTGTATCCTGGCTGTAAATCTGAACGGACTGCACTTTCTCAACAAGGATACTCACGTATGTTACAGACAAACACTCACAGTCCCGCACAGACCTGGATCTGTGTGATGTTGCACGCTTCATAGTTCAGGACCAGCTGGCAAAACATGGTAGTGTGCAGCTGGATGTGTGTAATAATATGTGTAATTATAAG